TTGAAAATGACAAAAAGAAGAAACAAAATGTAATCTCAGCCAAACAGTCTGCCCAGAACAAGTCCAGGAAACATCAATATGGAAGACCATGGAAGTTACACATATGAAATCTCTGAATTGATAGCAACTGAAGTAAAGAACCAACTACATCCGGCTATGGAGGAAATCAGGTCAGCAATAATTGCTCAGGTAAAAAAAGAAATGACAATCATAACAATAGAATTGCTTGGCATATCAAAAGAAGACATAGGTAAAAAATGGAGGAGCACAGAGAAATGATGGAAACCTTGAATGAACAATATAGGAAAGAATTAGAATGCATGCAGCAGATTCAAAGAGACAGTCAGGAAATTAAAAATTTCATTGAAAGCTGGAAGAATCACTTGAATAAAATGGAAGATAGACTCTCAGACCTTGAAGACAGCATTGCAGCTAGTGATCATGAAAGAAAAGACCTCTTAAAAACAAGTAACAGCAAATAACACTTCAACAGCTGCAAGATGAGGCAAAGAAAAACAATATAAGGCTGATAGGTGTCAACAAAAGAGCAGGAGGCAACATGAGTGACATAAAAAGACTATTTGTAGAAGTAATAGCAGAAAATTTCCCAAGCATGGGACCAGAACCTTATAAACACATAAGTGAGGCATATAGAACCCCAGTTAGCCATAACCAAGATAAATCTATGTCCAGACACATCATAATCAAAATCCCAGGAATTCAGCAAAAGAACAGAATATTAAAAGCTGTTAAAGTAAAGAAACAGATTACTTATGAAGGAAAGCCCATCAGAATCGTGGCAGATTTCTTAACACAGACCATGAAGTCAAGAAGAGCTTGGAGTGAAGTATTTCAGGTCCTGAAAGAAAACATCTTCCAACCTAGATTGCTGTACCCTGCAAAGCTATCTTTCAAAATTGATGGAAAAATAAGATACTTCCATGACAAAGATCAACTGAAGAAATTCATGAGTGCCAAACCAATCCTACAAAGAGTACTGAAAGATATTTTACAGTGACAAAAATGACCACAATCTCAAGACCAACAATAGAAAAGAACTACCAAGC